ATCTTATACCAAATAGAAAGCCTACTCGGCAATTCACTCTCTAATATTCTTCTCCCCCCACACTCCGCCTCTTAATATTCTTCTCCGCCGTATCCTTCCGTAGAACAAGATAAATGCAATAACCTAATTTGCTGCAAACAGGAAATGCTAACTATACTTCTCTCTGCTCTCTCTCTCTCTCTCTCTCTTAGAGCGGACACAATGTTGTACCTATCAGGTTCATTGCTCTTGTTCATCTGAAACCACAAACTCTAAACCATCATTCTGGTCTGTGTGAATCCCCTGTCATGGACCTGAGCCCCTTACCACGATCTCTCTCTAAACTTGCAAAACTGTTTCGGTCGAAGAAGTCGTCGTCCTCGGCGGATCCCTCTTCTCCTGTGAAGGAAGGGAAACGAGGGAGAGAAGAAGAAGGTGAAACGAGTGGTTGGAGGAGAGCGAAGAGCAAAGGAGGAAGAGATGAAGACGAAGTGAGCAATGTTGATGATCGGAGCAGTGCAAAGATAAGGCCATCTCCTTCAAAGAATAAAGGTGCGGCAAGAGGAAGTGATGGAGAGAAGCCTGAAAGAGCGCCGGCGCCGGAGGTGACACCCACCAAAACTGAAACTTCGGGGAGCGCTAGGAAGGAGCTTGAGATGGCGAGGGAAGGAGAAGAAAAGGGTGAAAAGAGTAAGGGGGACGACGAGAGTATAATGTCCTTACCTTCCGAGAAGCCAATCCCTCCAAATGAAGATATTCTGGCGGGAAAAAAGTTGTCACCTACGATACCTGTGACAAGTGGTGCGGAGGTGTCTCAGAGACAAGGAGAAGGAGGAGTAGACATGAATGGTGGAGAGAACGCTGCAACCAGACCATCTCGTTCACCATTGTCATCGTCGACAAGCGGTCCAGGAGGAAGCAACAAAAAGGAGTCCAAAAGTATCGGGGGCAAAGATGAGGAGGGAGGCCATGAGGGTGGGGAGAAAAAGCTAGGGATGATGTCCTCTCCTCCATCGGAGAGCGACAAGGAAGAGATTGAAAGGATGAGGGAAGAACAAGACCAAGGAGACAAGAGGAGCTATTCAGAGTTGGCACCTACGACAATGATCTCTTCTTCCCCATTGCCAACCAAAGGAAATGAAGAGATGAGAGCAAGGAGTGGTGTAGAGGTGTCTGAGAGACAAGGAGGAGGAGAAGACATGAATGGTGGAAGGAGTGCAGTAATCACGTCCTCTCCTTCACCATCTTTAGTATCAACAAGTGTTCAAGGAGGAAGCAATAATGAGTTAGAAAGAAATAGGACAGGAGATGAGCGAGCAAGACATGAGAGTGGAGAGCAGATGATGGAGACGACATTGGCCAAAAGGGATATTTTGGAGAGTGACAAGAAAGAGAAGGAGAGGACGAGGGAAGAGCAAGAACAACGAGGTGAGAGGAGCTATTCTTCCACAACGATCTCTTCTTCCCCATTGCCAACCGTAGCAAATGAAGAGATGAGAGCAAGGAGTGGTGTAGAGGTGTCTGAGAGACAAGGAGGAGAAGGAGAAGCAATGTATGGCGTAAGGAGTACAGAAATCACATCCCCTCTTTCACCATCATTACTGTCGACAAGTGTTTCAGTAGGAGGAAACTACAAGGAGCCTAAAAGTATCAAGACAAGAGAAGATGAGAGTGAAGAGAAAAATGTGGGGATGACATCCTCTCATCCGATGACGGAGACAACATCGACCAAAACAGAGATTTTGGAGACCGCTGAGGAGGATAGCAAGGGGACGAGGGAAGAACAAGGACAAAGAAGTAAGAGAAGCCATCCAATAAAAGATAGTCCGACGCCCTCGTCATGGTTGATGCCAATGTCAGTAAATGGAAAGACCGAGTTTGGAGATCAGAAGTGGTCACCTACGACAAGACCAACCATAGCAAATGAAGACGTGACAGCAACGGAGCCCAAGAGAAGTCATGAAAGCTTCGTAGGAGGAGGAAACGATGAGGAGCCTGAGAGTATCAATGCAAGAGGAGGACAAGGAGAACATATGAATGGCAAGGAAAAAATGGAGATGGTACCCATTCCTTCTCCAATCTTAGAGACAACACCATCAAAAAGGAAGGTATCTGGAAATGAAGAGATCGAGAGCACGATGGAAGGACAAGTAGAAGGAGATGAAACAAGCAAGCAAGAAAGAAGAGACGATGACAGAAATGTACCCTCTACTTCTTTCATGTTTGACTCGGTGAAAGAAGAGACTCGAGTGGAGAAGACTAAGAGAAAGGAAGAGGAAGGACAAAGATGGGCATATAATGGATGGAAGGCAGGGGTTGCATTTGGGATCATAGCAGTGGTGGGTACAATAACATGGATAGGATCGACGCTGTTCCTGAAGCGGCGACAGAGTAATGTTCAAAGTCAGAAAACAAGACACCGTGACGATTAGAGATGATGGCATTGGTGGATGGATAGTTCTCTTATCGTTGTATACTTCACGCCTAGAATATGAGATTGGATAACAAGATAGAGTACAAATATTGTGGATATAGCAGGTTGATTGTGGGATCGAAAATTGAAATTGTTGTACATTGAATAACTAGGAAGGAAGATTATTTTTCTTTTTATTCTTGGAACTTATTAGTTCCAGCTTGCAATCAGCAAGGAGTTTATTAGGTCTAGATTTCTACAATACATTTACTTCTATTGTAAATGAACAAGAAAGGAATTTTTTTTCTTTTCAAACATCTTTCTATCTCTTTAATTTCTGGGAATGATATGTAAAATAGTGGGAGAAAAGAAGATTGTGGGTGTATCATCAAATGATTCAAAGATTTGTTTTGTGATCTAAAAACATGTATAACTTCTAATTAGTAAGGGTGTTTATAATCGAAATTGAATCGTAATTAAACTGGTTTGTTCTGAATCGATTCATTAATAACTCGATTCTAAACGCTATAAACTGTTTTAGTTTGAGAATTTTTTGATTTAATTAATCGATTTAAATTAAATCAAATAGATTTTAAATTAAGAATATTAGCTCGATCTAGTTCATTGCTATAAACCTTTAATCGATTCAAACTAATTAATCAAATCGACTCAAAAATTGAATTTGATCGATGTCGATACAATAATTTCACAAATCACATGGGCCTAATATAATAAATTTTATAGTATCGATCGAATTTGATTAAGATTCCAATTTGATTCAGCAAATTGATTTATTTAAAATATATATTTTTTAAATTATTTGAAACTATAAATTACCAAATCAAAAACTTGATTTGATTTAGTCATGATTAGATTCAAACAAGTTAAACACCCCTACTAATATTAGGAGGAATTCTTCTTACTTTGTCTAGCCAATTCTATAAATCGCCCACTAAAATTAACTATTGTATTTAGTTGGGCTAATTACATATTATCTTTGACGACTAGACCTCTTTAGCATCCTGGTCTCTAGTCTTAAAAAATTTATGTTGGAATCTCTATAGTTATGAAAGTGAAACATCTAAGTCTATTTACCCTAACACCATCAGTTTTACCAACGGAAGCACAAAAATGATGAGCAAAAATAAAATTTTATTATCCTAATACATTTTCGGTGGTGACACACGATGACACCATCTGGGGTAACAGGTGGTTGTTATAGATGAGCAGAGAGAATAGTGGTAAGAGGTGAAGCAAAGAGAGAGGAAGAAGAGAATAATGCAAATGTTGATGCTTTGCATCTACATCATCGTCGACGCAATTGCTGAGTGATGCTGATGCAAATGTAGAGCGAAGAAAGGGTCGCTTAACATCTGAATCAGCATCGACGTAGATGCAGAACAACGAAAGGGCGATGGTCTACTAGGAGTCAAACGCAGCCTTCCTTTGTTGGGCCTATGACGTGTCCATCCATGGCACCAACTTTCTTATAGCTCGTTATGTCTGCTAGGTCATCTGTGTTGCTTGCCACTCCCTCGACGTTGGTTGCCACATCTCCGACACAGGTATGTGACGGGTTCGCCTCCTTTGCGCTTCCTGCGATCCCAATCCTATTGCCTCCCCTTTATACTCTATGGCCTCCTCGCCCTTTAGCTCTTGTCTCTCCACCTTCGAGTCCACGATAACACCTCGGGCAAAGAAGCCCACAAATCCTTAGCGGATGACCACAAAGCGACAATGTGGGGTGGTTGAGGAGAGGGTGGAAGCCGTCCTACTAGGTTGGAGCCTGATGATGGGGTTATGGAGTGACACTGATATAGATACAGAACGGCGCTATTTTACAACCCCATCCTCGAGATCCAACTTAGCAAGACGACTTCCACCCTCTCCTCAATCACCTTGAACCACCGCTTTATAGCCATTTGTCAAAGATTTGCGGGCTTCTTCGCTCGAGGCACCATCGTGGACTCGGAGGTGGAGAGATAAGAGCTAGAGGACGAAGATGCCACAAAGTGCAAAGGAGAGGCAGCAAGATTGGGATCACAAGAAGTGTAAAGGGGATGGACCCGCCACAGACCTGTGCTAGAGATGCGGCAACCAACGTCGAGGGAGTGGCGAGTAGCACAGATGACCTAGCAAACATGGTAAGCTACGAAGAAGTTAGCGCCATGGACGAACATTTCGCAGGCCCAACAAAGGAAGGTTGCGTCCGATTTATAGTAGACCATCGCCCTTTCGTCGTTTTGCATCTGCGTTGGAATTTTCCTCCGCTCCCTTTGCTTCACTTCTTATCATCATTTTTTTTCCTCATCTATAATAGCCACCCGCGACTCCTAATGGTGTTGTCGTCCACCACAATCGAAAACGTAACTAAGGCGTTGAAATTATTTTTTTACCTATTATTTTTATATTTTTATCGGTAAAATAGATGGTGTCAAGGTAAATGGATCTAGATGTTTTATTTTCATAATTATAGGGAATCTAATATTTTTTTTAATGTATGGATTCGGATGTTAAAAAAGTTATAATACGTAATTAGCTCTGCTAAGTTAATCTATAAAAAGTCAAAGGGTCGCTGATAGCCGTCGCTGCTAATTCACCGAAACGAAGCATAAATTGGTCCGTTGTGACCGCCGGCCCCTTAAAAGCGCTGCTCCATGGAATGAGGTATCGGATCCATGTCCGCCGTGTGGGGGCTGCAACCCCATCTGCTGCCGTTCTTCCCAACCATCTCGTCTTGCAACTCCCTTTCCCTTGTGCTTCCTGTCGCTTCCGAAGGTAAACCCTACACCTTCCCCTCCGTCTTCTACAAGAACGCCTGCCGCCTCCACCTTCGCCTCTCCTCTCCACTTCGCGGTCGTCATCAACAACACCCTCTTTGGTCTGCCCATCCTTCTTATCTGCCTCCACCTCTTCGATCCAAATCCGCTTCTTCCCGGCTGCTTCCCTGCGCATATCCTTCGACTGATAACAACACATTCGACGGCGGTGACAACAATAACAATGGCAACAACAACAACAATGGGAATCGGTGGTGGCATGAGAAAAATCCTTCCTTTGGCCCTGACGGTTGGTGGGTTCTGCTGCCGCTGCCGCTCCTCCTTCTTGGTGGAGGACCCGACGACGGGGATTCTATCTTCTCCTCCATCAGGGTTGCTGCCATTGTCCTCTTGTCCCTGCTCCCGCAACTCCTTTTCCCATTTCTTACGCTTGGCTTGACTGCCACTGCTGAAGATGCCCCTGGTTTTGTCTGGGAGGTGACTGGGGGCAGGCGGACGAAGCTCGTGCATGATCCACGAGGCGATTGCTTGGCGGTTGACCGAGGGACGAATGCCCAAGATGGAGATGGCAGGCCCCCATTCTACCCGAGTCTGGGGTCCTCTTGGCGCATATGCAAAGATCTCGTCTTCAGGTTGTTGCTGCCTGAAGGTTACCCCCACAGTGTCAGCAGCGATTACCTCGAGTACTCCCTTTGGAGAGGAGTTCAGGGAGTTGCCAGCCAAATCAGCGGAGTCCTTTCCACGCAGGTTCGCTGCTCTTACTCCTTGTATTGCTTCTTCCGTGATTATAGATCCTGAGTGCTACTTTAGTTTGTTTATCATGGCAGATAGCAAACTTATTAAACCAAAACCCTTTCTGTAAAATATCATGGTAATGGTTAAAAAAAGATACCATTGGTGTTAGAAGATTTTGGCAATGAGGTTTCATGATATAGAAAGGAATAAATGTTTTTTTTTCTGTAGAATTTGCTAATTGTTAATTTGAGTTCAATGTTTTGTTGTCTTTTTATGGAACTGGCCAACTATTAATTTTGAGTCCAGTGCTCTAAGTTTGTTTGATTTAGTTTCCTTTGATAAGCAAATTTCTTGCTTTAGTTTGACTGTTCTAGTTGCATTATGTTCTCAATTTTTACGTTGCAACAAAGTGCATTTCTCTATTTTCCCCTTGATACATATTCTACCTTACCATCAAATTGAAGATCGTTTAACATTGGACAAAGTTTTGCTGAATCTGTGCTAAATTCTAATGCATTTAATACTGCTTTTGGTATGGGAAATGTGTGGGATCTGTAACAGACAAACCTTGCTTGTTCGTGCAGGAATCAACCTTACAATTAGTCATGTTAGATTGTCACATTGTAGGACGTTGTAATATGTATTTCCACTTGGATGTGAGGAAATCTTAATCCTTTAATTTAATGTCAAAATTCATGGTTCCATCAACCTACTTGGTTTTCACAAATTAGGATGAGTGTTAAAGATGATAAAGGATTCCCCATCTTCTCCTCAAAGTTTGAAATTTGAACCAAGAACTCCTTGGTCATAGAGAGATGAGAGTAGAGTAGGCAATTATTCATTTGTTTAATATATAACGAGAGCCTTTTTATTAGATTTTGGCAAGTTTCAACAAACACTTGTCACAGTTTAATCCAGGGATAACAAAGATGCTTAGCCATATGGTCATCTCCACCACATCCAAGCTTTACTACTTCTTGAAGCACAATTCAGTATATGAATCATCATTGCTCCATTCTTTGCATAGCTAATATATCCTTTCCTATATGACTCTTCTTATGGAAAGAAATGTATCAAAGTAAATGTGTAACTTTTTTGTCTTAAATATTTCTCATTGGTTTTTGATGGATGATTTGATATTTCTCTTTTATTAGGCTTTACTTTATGCAGTTGGATTGGGAAAAGGTGCAATTCCAACAGCAGCTGCTGTGAATTGGGTGCTTAAGGATGGAATTGGCTATCTCAGCAAAATATTATTGTCAAATTTTGGTCGTCACTTTGATGTTAATCCCAAGGGATGGAGGCTTTTTGCAGATCTTTTGGAAAACATGGCATATGGGTTGGAAATTATTACACCTGCTTTTCCTCAATTTTTTGTTTTAATTGGTGCTACAGCTGGGGCTAGTCGTTCAGCAGCTTCTTTGATCCAGGTACTGCTTGAAGCTTGATTTTTTTTCCTTTCTTTGTTCAAATTACCCTGCAATATGTGTCGATATTGACTATTCTCATCTTTACACACATCTTCTCATTTTCACATGCATCTCTACCCTATTCTCCATAACATAATGATGCATTATGTAAAATTTAATTTTAACATTATATTCAAAGATGTGCTAGTAAGATACCCCTATATTTTTGGATTTTTTAAAATATGCTGTTACTTAGTAATTTTTAATTTTTTATATGTAACCGTTTGAGAGATATAATTATATGATTAGTATTTTTTATGTATAATTATTTTAACATTAATTCTATTTTTTCATATTTTATTTATAGAATATTATTTTTATATATAGAAATATTTTTGCTTGTTTCTAATTAGATTACTAAATATTTTTAATAATTGAACAACTTTATTTTTTGTTTTAATTATATGATATTTATTTTTAAGCACATTTTTTAATGTATTTATTTGTATCAGTTTATATATATTGATTTTTTTCTGGGTTCTTAAATAATTTATTTTTAAGAAAATTGGTGTCTACAAGAACATGAAGAACTTGAAACATTTACAAGGAGAATTATTGAAATTTGAAACTCTAGTTTTGCTTGGACTAAGTCACTTGTAAAATGATATTTCAATGCACATTTGAAAATTTGCTTTTGCTAAAATTTGATGACACATGCTTTAATTATTGTTATAACAAAATCAGTTGCTTGTTTATGTCATATTTGATGCTTAATCAGGATATTAAAATCGATATTATGATGATTATTTAATATGATAATGATTGACATGTATATCTGTGATTAAAGACATCTCAGATTTTATTATTTTTTTTTTCATGTAACAAGTTTATGTTAAAGTTATATTAGTTATTGTAGATAATGACTATATATTTATAGTTTTTCGTTCTGATATAATAATTTAGTATATTAAATCTTCTAATAGAAGGGAAAGCCTTAGTACAACACTAAAGTTACAGTAGTTACTAATATTGCCATGTATTAGCAAATATGCAGACCTTGTTATCCACGTATTTGCAAATGATTGAAATTCTCACAAGGTTTTTGTATTTTTTCAATGTGATGGCTAAAATGCTTTGCAAAATAAAGAAAAAAGCTTGGAACATTTGAACATCATAAAAGTCATGCAGTTAATGCAATTGGATTTCGGCGAATGTCTAATAAATGTCCTGAACTTGACTATTTTCATGTTTTGCAGTCATCATCCTTACAATGGTCATGATATTAACTCTCATGGCATTTGATCGAGCCATGAAATGTGAATTTTGTTGCTTGATTTAGGTGACTTTCTGACTTAATGAGGAACCCACTTTCATATTTGCACTTGATTAGATTGTTTTGGATGTGCTAGTTCAAACACAGACTTGTTGGTAAGCAAGTTCATTGTCTTGCATTGTATGTCTTAAATTTGATTATTTATAATGGACATGGTAACATATCTCATGTCATTTGAGCTAAGTTTGACATGCGAATTATGTTGCTTGATTTAGGTAAACTCCTTTGACATAATGAAGATAAACGACTTACATTTTTTGCAATTGATTAGACTGAATCGAATGTGCTACTTCAAAAACATACTTCCTGTTTAGCAAGTTCATTATCTTGCATCATATGTTTGAGTTTTCAAATGCATTTATTTAAGTAGATGACTAATTGGAACCTCTATCATATATGGCTTCTTTTTCAGTAACTAAGTTTCTCGCTGGATTGTGAGCTTTGTTTATATTTCACAGGCTGCTACAAGAAGTTGTTTCTATGCTGGTTTTGCTGTGCAAAGAAATTTTGCTGAGGTACATTGAATTCATTTGTTCCATTCTCATCAATCAATGGTATTCATACGCTTATACCTTAATTATATGGTGGCAAGAAATTTCCCTTGTCTATACTTAGTAGTTGTGTCAAGTCATCAAGGATGATCTATGGCCAAGCCCATTTATTAGCTCCTTTATATATCTCTAGTACTTTGGTTTGTTTATTGCTTTTGCTGACAACACGTAAAGAAACATGGTTGTGTCTAAATTCATGTTTCACATGTCTATACATCTTGTGCTTATACGTACTTATATACAAGGTTTAGTTTAATTCTCATTCTATTTTCATATTGGTCATCAATCAGATTGTTGTGGGACTGATATGTTGGGACTGGATGTAACCAATGTTGAACCTCTAAAATCCTGTTTTTGTTATTTTTTTGCCTCAATAATGAATCAGTATATGTTTTTAAGACCTGCTACGAATCATATATCAAGACCATGTGCATAAAAGCTTTTGAAAATGTTGTAATTGGTGCATGATACATGATACATGGTATTGTGATACATGTATTACCAATATAACATAAATTTGTTGGTAAGAACTCATATGTACATGGATTTCATCACTATACAAGGCTGAGAAGCCATGACTTATTAATGGGTTGGCTACTACCATCAAAATGAATTCTGTGCTGCTTGGGAGGTGGGTTTAGGTTCACAATTTCATGTGTCTGGAAGGATTTAGATTGCATAGGGTAAGTGAGTGCTTTCTGAATCTTTGCTCTAATAGTGTGTATAATGTGAAAATACAGAGATCATCTACAATCTCTTTTCCATATCAACTTGCATATCTGTATAATGGCTCAAATTACCAATGATCTTACTCAATGTATCACAGACTATGCCACAGCAATTAAATTATTTGATTATAAAAACTTCCAAATTGTTATTGCAAACTGAAATTTGAAGAAACTATTAGGCTTCATAGGCTGTTGTACATGCATATTCTAGAATTTGGCTCATTTCGTACAGATATGCAATACTACTCTTATTATATGCTTGAAAGTTGAGATGAAATACTACTCTTGATTATCATCATTAACTTTTCATGAAAAAATATTGGCTCATTTCGTACATGTAAGTCATAACATAGTTGGATATACACATAGAAAAATAAAATCTTTGTGTTTGTGCATTTGCATAAAGGCATCTTACTTGTATTATATGCTTATGCATAAACTGAAAAATATAGGTATGCTTGCACAATATTTATGCAAACATACAAGGATGTCCATATACATTTGATTTTTATTAAGTGAATTTTAGGTCATTGCAAAAGGTGAAGCTCAAGGAATGGTGAGCAAGTTTGTGGGAATCATGCTTGGAATAGCCATGGGTACCTACATTGGATCATCAACTCCATTAGCACTTGCTTCTTTCGTTGCAGTGACAGGACTCCACATGTACTGCAATTTCAAGTCATATCAGTCAATTCAGTTAAGGACTTTAAATCCATATCGAGCATGTAAGTTCTTGACTAGTCAATTTCATCCCTTTTTCCACCCACTGTAGATGGATAGTTATAAATAGGTAAGTGATGTAATTGGGTGATTTAAATTTGAATTTTGCTCAACTTATGTAACTTGAGTTTTTTGCCATCTTCCGTCAAACAAATGGTAATCTCTTTTAACTGCATGTTAACACCTTGAGAGCTGCTCTTTTAAGACTAAAATTTGTATTAGGAAGAGAATTTCTCATGAGAAACTTAAGTCTCGAATGGGCATATCACAGGTCTAAGAGTATGCTCTGTTTGCTTGTACATGTACAATCTTAGGATTGACAATTTCAGATGAGTTTTATTTCTACAAACTGTGCTTGGTGTTGTGAGAATTGTCTTTCAACGAATACCATTTTTGGCATTTTGTCTTAGTATCTTTTTTTCTTTTTATCTTTCTGACTTTTTCGTTCTTGTTATTGAAGGGAGTCATTCCTTATACAGGGTTTTGTGCTCTTATGATAAATTTATAATATGAACATTCATGTTTTAGTAAACTCATATATGCAATTATGCATTACCAATTTACCACAAATCTTCTGCATAAGATACTTTTATACCGTGGCTTGTTTCTTAATATACTTTGTATGGGCTTTCCACAGGTTTGGTCTTCAGTGAATATCTATTGAGTGGACAGGTTCCTCTTATAAAGGAGGTCAATGATGGGGAACCGTTCTTCCCAGGCATACCATTTGTCAACAAAATAACTCGTAGAGTAAGTGAAGATATACATTTATCTTGAACATAAGTTGCTAATGCATGAAAGCTATACGTTTTGGTCCTTTTGTATTATGTAGGCATCATGGATCTGGCAAATATGATATGCACATATAATTAAATTACTCAAGCAAGGCATGATATGGTCTGATATAATGGATCAAGAACAAATATCATATTTTTAATGTGACATTTTAAAACATTCAGTAAAAGACTAGCTTACTTCTCTTATCATTTACTGTGGAGTCACTTTACTATCTTCAATTTCCTAAATAACATTGTGAACTTATGATAATCTTTGTCCTGAAGGTTTCTCTTGTGGGATATTATAATTGATGGATAACATATTTGGATAATCTCTAGCAATTCTTTTTTATTCGTAAAACCATGCAATGTCTTTAAAGTGAATGTGCTAGACAAAAGAAGTATGACTTTTAAATCATATCTAAGTATTCTTTGATGAAATTGACAAAATCTGAAATGTAAGTGGCACAAAATGTTTCTTGCACAGTAAAGAAAGGTAACAATCCAAACATGTTTTAGAAGCTTACAAATATGTTTATCTATTGGCTGCTAGTGCCCAAAACCCAGAATCTAACTTCGAATCAAAACTGGTTTATAACACTATGAAGTACATCAATATTATGCTAAGAATAACTAATATATAGCCTCCAAAAACTTCATAGCTGCTGCTTTTTGAGCTGAACTTTAAAGACCGTGGGATGATCAGTCTAAAGGATCTCACAAGTTTGTCCTTACAGTCCATGTGGACTCTGTATAATATGTCTGTACAGTCCAATGGTCTGGGGAATTGGACCTCTTGACTCCTTCCGTGGAACAAGTGTTGTCTCGCCTCTTTTGATTGTCTCTTGCCTGATTAGGACTTTTTTGAGATTGGATTCCATATTTTAGAGCTTTTCTGTATGGACACAAACATCCTGAGGCTTAGGAAGTGCTCCCAAATCGCACATTGTGGCAAGCCCACCTGTTGCTATGAATGGATGCTCCCTGCAGTCCATGATATGGTTACGGGCTGCCATTTAAGCTTCCCAACTCCAGGCAAGGGTCTGGATCTGATTCAAGTAATTCTATAAAAATACCTAATTGAGGTTGGTCATATTTGTGAACTCATGAAAAAGAAAAATCTATTGTGACCACCAGAATTTCTGGAGTATTTGAAAAGTTTAGGGGATTTCAGCTGATGGTTCTCCAGCATGACTAGAATCTTTTAGGTAGTGGGTTGGATTTTCCTCCATTGAAATAATGAAAACATCTAGGGACGTAATGTATGCAAACAATTTCTTCTCTGATCCTCATTACAGTTGACTGCATGGTGTCCTTATAAAAGCCAGTGTCACTTTCGTCAAGACTTGTCTGGCATCTTTATTTAGATGTTTACCTGTTTACTGTGTTTTCATGCCTTTTTCTGCTATTTGAATTTGATTTTCACTTCAATGGAATGCATGCTAAACTAGGATTCACTTCACCTATATCCCCTTGCGGTGCTTACCACTAGTCATCTGTGCTTTCATATCATGATGTCCAATGGAAGCATGTCAGCTATGACATCATGGTGAGGTTGAATAGTGTGCTCGATAGTTATGAACGTTACTCTCTCTTAAGCAAAGTTACATAAAACATACACATCAGACATTAGAACAATTGACAAACTTAAATAATTCTTGTTGATGCAGTTTAAACAAATGTGACTGTGTATATATATGAAAAAAAAAAGCAATGCTTGTGACATTAAAAATCAACTAAATTGGAACACTGTTGAATCTTATAAAAGGTTATTGATTAATTAATATCCAAATTCTTATCTGTGAAAAATATTTCTGATAATTTTTAGACCAAGATCACTCATTGATTTTTTTCTATTGATTCATTTTAAGTCAACTACCTTAACCAATTGCTCGTACAAAACAAGGAAATCAGTTATTTCTGTTGCTTCAATATCTGCTCACTTGAAGTTTATTTCATAATTTTTGGGTATTTATTTTGGATAAAAACTCACTACACAAATTTGATTACTTGAATTAGTGTGTCATTCTAATGTCATGTGAATTCCTCACCATAGCATATACCCATTGTCGCTTTTGATGACGAACAATTTTGATACTTTTACGAACTCACAACTCTTATATGAGAAACCATAAAGATTTGAACTTAATTTATTATTTAAAAATATTGATTAGTAATATGTTGAATAGCTGCATGGATTCATGAAATTGGTCAACTAAATATTTTTAATTCTGGGCGGAGTATTAGGAAAGGATAGAATCAATATAATTGTGTTGTAGTTTCCACAATATCTTTACAATAACTGAAGTAAATTTCTTCTCCTAGAATCTACTTGAACATCCTAACAAATATATACCAGCAGAAGTTAAATCTCTCATTGAGTTTGAGCTCTTAAATCTAAGGTTTATCTGGATCAGATTATAGCTTGGCCCACTAGATTGTGGTGGATGTGGTCCAACATAATTATATTTGTTACTTTAATCAGCAGTTCTATCTGTTCTCCTATTCTATTGCTGCCTCTAATCTTAAATAATTAAATGAGGAATTATTTTGTTGCAGAATGTATCTTTTTTTCCTCTTTTTGCTCTTTTATATTTGTATAGTTCCCTAGTTACACTATCTATAGTTTTATATTTGTTGCAGAATGAATCACAACTTTGTGATTCTTAAGTGGTAGATGGCAAAAGTCTTGTACATGATCTATACATCTTTTTCATGTGGTTTCTGTTTGTTGGTTTTCTTTTAGGGACAGTCTCAGATACTATCCGTGGAAGCTAAAGATGCAGCAGCTGAGATTTGCTGCAGGCTGCAACTGGGGTCTAAACTCAGTGAAGTAATCAACAGTAAAGAGGATGCCTTTGTACTGTTTGATCTATATAGAGATGAAGGCTACCTGCTTACAGAGAACCAAGGAAGATATTGTGTAAGACTAAAGTCTATCAAAATATTTGTACCTTATAGTTGCTGAGTTGCTTTATAATTCTCTCCGCTGTAGATAATTCTCAAGGAAGGGTGTTCGCCAGATGACATGTTGAAATCTCTTTTCCACGTCAACTACCTGTACTGGCTGGAGAGAAATGTGGATATGGAGTCAGGGAGTGCTGCTGATGAGTGCAAGCCAGGGGGAAGGCTGCATATATCCTTCGATTATGTACAGAGGGAATATGGTCATATCAAATATGATGGTCTGCAAAGTGGCTGGATCACTGACGGGCTGGTCGCGAGGCCATTACCAACCAGGATACGCCAGGTTTCCTAGTTTTCTGCCCAGATTAGGTTCATGGCAACTTTCTCTATAGGACATTGAAAAAGAACTACAAAAAAACAAATAGGTGATTGACAACTCATCCGATTAGTTATTGCTTCATGATAAACCGATAGTGGAAACAAGAATGGCCGTAGAAAATTCTCTTGTTCGATTAAAGATTAGGCGACTGAGATTTCTGCCGGCATGGAGAGTTTTGTGCCAAACCATGCCGTGTTGTGTTGGTTCTGGCTACTTGCCATATCAGTATGTCATTTTACGAACAAGTTCTTATGCAGGTACTCGGTCTGTACCCGTCTTATTGTGCAAAGTTTTATGGTGCTTAAAAATAGAATCTATATATATAATTTTTGACAAGAATGTGCTGTTGTTTGGATTGTTAGTCAGTTGTATTTAGTCTGGGAAAATAAAAAGTTATATATGTATATGTGGACGATTGGAAAGGGGTATATCGAATCACATCACAGAAGTGATGCGAATATTTGATGATGGGATGCATGTTCTCCTTTTCGAAGTGAGATTAAATCAGCGTCTTGATGTATCTTTCATGAAGGGTTTCATGTCATCGTAGACATGTGACATGTCATGTCATGTCATGTCAATAAAAAATATTTTATAAATCATCTTTGATTCAAAGAATATTGTGTAATAAAAAAAAAGTAACATGGATTGAAACGAAAAATACATTCAATTAATCTTTTGGTTCGGGACAAACAAGCAAATCAAATTAAAGAAATGTGAATGCATCTTAAGGATGATAAGGATAAAAAAAATTTTAAAAATGATTTCTCAATAAAAATTCCGTCGGGTAAAGCCTCGACTACAAACAAGATGTTCTTTTCTCTCTCCAAGATCTTGGACTCTTTTTGACACTCGAAGTGTCACCAACTTAGATATCAGGGAGACTCCACCGAGGAGCTCTCTGTCTTGGCAATTTGGAGCTCTAGTTAGGTAACTCGTCTCCACCTTTGCATCTTGGTTCTAGCTTGACATTTTGGCACATCCAATGAGATTGCCTGCCTAGCTCGAATAGGAAAACCATCAGTTATGTTCAACAGTTAGAGACGACGATTAAATATATAAAAAATTAAATGGAATAACTCTCAAAAAATCAAAAGAAAAAGACAAACATCGAAAAAATAAAAGGGACAAAAGTGGGCTAATTATATATTAGCCCTTTTAGTTACAACTCTTTACTAATCCTATTCTTAGATTTAAAAAATTTACATTGAAATCCAGAAGCACGAAAATAATAGGCAAAATGGTAATTTTAATATCTCAATTTTGTTTTCGATGTTGGTAGATGACAGCACCTTTAGGAGTCACAAGTAATTATTGTGGATGAGAAGGAAAAGCGATGATGAGAGTTAAGACAAAGGGAGAGGAGAAAGAGGATGACGTAGAGCAGCACCGCTCTGCATTTGTGTCGATATTGACGTAGTTGCCAAGCAACGCCAATGCAAATGTTGATGCAGAGCGACGAAAGAGTCGCTCGGCATATGCATCAACATAAATGCAGAGTAGCCCTTTCGTCACTCGGCAACTACATTAACGTCGCGCCGCAACCCTATCCTTCGGCTCCAACCTAGCAAGACAGCCTCCACCCTCTCCTTAACCACTCTACACTATCGCTTTATGGTCGTTCGTTGAGGATCCGCAGGCTTCTTCACTCAAGGCGCCACCGTGGATTTAGAGGTGGAGAGGTAAGAGCTAAAAGATGAGAAGGACACGGAGTAATAAGGGGAGGTTGCAAGATTGGGATCGTAAGAAGCGCAAAGGGGGCAAACCTGCCACGAGTCTACGTTAGAGACACAATTGCTAGTGTCGAGAGAGTAACAAGTAGCACAAATGACCTAGTGGACGTGATGAGACACAAGAAAGTTGACGTCATAAATGGATGTGTCGCAAGCCTAACAAAGGAAGGTTACACTTGGCTCACTATAGATCATCACCCTTTCACCACTCTATATCTACTTCCGTGTCGATGCGGATGCTGAGCGGCCTTTTCGTCGCTCTGCATTTGCATCGGCATCGATATAGTTCCCTATGTGCCGACATAGATGTAGAGCGTCTGTATCTGTATTATCCTCTTCCTTATTTCCCTTTATTTCATATATCATCGTTGCCCTCCCTCCTCATCCACAATAGTTATCTATGGCCCTAAGCGATGCTATCGTTCACTACTATCGAAAACGTAACTAGAATATTGAAGTTATCTTTTTGCCCATCGTTTCTATGCTTCTATCGGTAAAACCAATAACGTTAGAGTAAATAAAAATAAATATTTTACTTTCATAATTATATAGATTTTAATATAATTTTTTTAAGTCTAAGATAATAAAGAACTCTAACTACGTATAATAATCTAATCTATAATTAGTTCGACAAAAATAGATGACTCAATTTATTTTGAATTCTCTTTGCATAATCGACCTTTCTATTTCGTTTCGTGTTACACCCATGAACCTCCTTTTATTGGAGAGAACTGCATATAATCAAATCCAACATGAAATAAAACCTTGATATATAGCTCATCTCTCGTCAAATCAAATCCCCATGTAATTAGAAAAGTACTATTAGTTAAATGTAATAGATGATCTCAAATTAAAATCAAATTATTCTCCAATAATTTATTTATTTATCATATTCAGTGGATGAGCGAAACAACAAATTAGGAAACCCAAGTGCGTTACGTTGATATCTCCACCATTCCAAAAGCTTGAGGATAAGACCCCACAGTTTGTTTTCAGCCCTTCCTTTAGAGAAGTGCTCATCACAATCACATGGTCTCGAGTAAAGAACCTCACCTAACGTTTGCAATATGTACCAGTTATTGTATCGATTAACTGCTTGAGAAATTCCACTGTGTTACATCACAAAAAATATCCTTGTAAAAGTTACTCAAAATTTTTGACGTATGAGATCTTACAACCGACGTTGTGATAGCAAACGATGTTGCAATAGGAGACGGTTGCAGTGGTGGTTGGTAGTCGATGATAACGATGCAATGGTTGATCTTACTGATGTCGATTCGAACATTTATAATAAGAAGAAAGAAGAGGCAAAGTGATAAGGCACCTGTGTTAGTGTCAGAAGAAAAACAGGAGGGAGGTGAGACATATGTGTTGTTGTCGCACCACTCTACCTCTTCTAATATTGTTTTGCGTCAGCATCGGTACCAGAGAGGAAGAGGAGATAGGTGAAACATTTGCGTTGTCGATGACAAGGAGAGAGGACGTAGGCGAGGCAGAGCGATACGATGTCATTCATCCATATGCATGTGATATATATTTCATTGGTAAGACCGACAACGTTAGGGTACATGAAGTTAAATGTTTCACTTTCATTAATTATAGGGATTTTAATGTAACTTTTTTAAGTCTAGAAATTGATATGCTAAAAAGGTCTAACTACAGAGGTACTCTATAATTATCTTATCATCATCATTTAAAAATACCTTTTTGTTCATCATTTTCATGTTATTCATACACGTGTTGTCATATACTATATCTTTTGTCGATAAAATTGACGATGTTAGGAGAAATGAGATTTTTTAAATGTTCTACTTTCATAATTATAGAGATTTCAAAATAAATTTTTGAAGTTTATGAATCGAGATGTTAAAGAGATCTAACTCTCCAATAAATGCATGGTGGCTTAGTTGGACTTAGGCCCAAGCTGCTCTGTCAAATAGTCATTCTTCGTGCTCAAAGAAGGGAGAGAGGAGGAGGAGGAGGAAGACCGTGCACGTCTCAGGGAAAGGGGAATCGAGATTCGTGGTGATGGACGCTCAACTACTTGAACCGGACATCGTCGTGAAGGTACTGCTACCGCGCCATGTGCCTAATGTTACATAAGTGACATAGGTCTAATCGGCATATGAACATCAAGTATTCTTTAAGAAAGACATTCTATTTCAACTTAGCTTGATTAAAGAAGAAAAAAAAATTAGAACAAAAACTAAATACTACTTTTATTCCAACTCTTTTGGTTAGAAGAAAAACTTAATTTGGTGACCAACAAATCCCAAGAACTTAAATTATTAAGAAAATGATCCAATATATAGTAATTATTAAGAAACTATTTGGACTTGTAGTTGACGTGTGATTAGCTGAACAATACATCAGTTGTAATATAGTAATTCTTTCCTCTGTACCTCCAAACTTCAAGTTCGATAATGTCTCCCCTATCACTCTTTCTTCTTCCGTTTGTTTTCATTTCTTGTTATATATCACTACTCACCCAAAGCATGGATTTCAAAGAGCACAAGCACAGATGACTCCAAACTATATCACTGTTATATATCTTAGATTCCATACATGACAACGCTTACATCCGTCTTATTCCATAGGTATAGTATGTTTGCGACATCCATGATGACAGCAAGAGGATCACTTCGCAGGTGGAGTTGGCTTAGCTGTACCTGTGACCTGCAACAAATACATACGTACGTTCTTCGCATGCCACAGTGATCATAATCTCCAACAAAATATAGAAAGGGAATCCCAAGCAAATACCTTCTTCGGTTCCTGTGGTTTCTGCGCCACCTTCTTCGTGGTAGCTGGCTTCGCCCCTGCAGACTTGGGTTGCTGAACCCTGGGTGCCTGCGAGGAACCTTGAGGTCTTTCTGCTTTCATGGAGGCCATTGCTGTAGACAAGGATGACCGGAGATATCAAAGGCAATTAGCTTCAGGACAGATGTATTCCTTCCTCCACAATTTATAGTGTCTCTCGCACAAGAATCTACGGAAAGTAGATAACGAGAGAGCATAAAAGCTAACGTCTCAGGAAAAAAGAGGAGTCACTGTAGTGGATACACTACTCACTCTCGCAAGTGAATGAATGTTCTTATCGATGTATTCCTTCCTAACAGTGGAAGACACAAGGAATGGTGAAAACATGTTCATTCAACTCAAATCAAGATGAGACAAGTGTAGGTCCGATCATGGGATAGAAGATTCCCCAATAATGCGAAGCTAACATGTAAGGCTTCGAGCACTTCAAGTCTTATCACAACATGGGAGCAAAACGACATGAATTATTAGACAAGTTGGCAGCGGAGGATAATTGCCTTCTACAACATAAATTTGTAGCTGACCGATAGATATTTTTCTTGTCTTGCACGAGTTTCTTGTTCGATTGCCTTCCTACAAAACTTGAGGAAAACAAGGATAAAAGATGATAGACTAAATGAGAAGTACTTTTAATATGTAGTGTTTTGAATAAATATAAATATATCTATTTATGGCACTAAAATAGGTATTTATAAGATTTTTTAAAAAAAATTATTTTATGAATTAATCTTATCAGTTGCTACACTAACTTCGGATATTTCCGAACTTTCACAATGTTAGAGTTGAGCATGAAGAAAAAACAAGGAGAAATTCTCTTAGAAAAAAAATAAAAGAGAGATATAAAGGAAAAAATATATAATAATTGACTCGTTTTTAAAAGAACATGCCTAGATATTTAATCATTACGAGTTTTGTCGAGTATGTTCCTGACATAATTTTTGTAGAACTCTCTACCAAACCTTTTTTTTTTCCGACAACGAGCATGAGATAAGTTCTAATGATAATAAAGTTAGCTGGCTCCAAACGTGGACACTAAAAATTTATTTGTAACAAAAAAAGAATTTATGAAGATTTTTTTAAAAATAAAATTTTAGTTGTTCAATAAATACCCCATGTATTATCATAAGATCTCGAATGTAGAAAATACTTGGATGATTATAGATTTTTTCTTTAATAGGTTTAAAGAGAATGAAGAAAACAGCTTCAAGATAATTTAAGCCTGAGCTTGGATTAATCCAAAAAAAAAAAGCTTATTCGATATATTTATCGAGCTAAATCTTGGCTGTCTCTCATTCTTCACCTCTCTCCCTTGTCGCGATATATGATGACCAAGATCACATATCATATCACTCGTCGGTCCGTTTAGCGTGGATTAGCGGATTCATCTATCGAAGGCCATGGTTGTGTTTCCTATCATCTGTGCTTGATGCTGAGGAAAGCTGTCATCATTTTGTATATGAACAACTCAGTCATCTCAATCAGAGTCTTACGAGCATTGCACAAAAGTTTTGGCTTTGGTGTGCTTGGAATTAATCCATAAGTGGCATTGGAATTTAAATTGTCGATGTTTGTTGGGTCTCGAAGTGCAACTATTGCACAACTCGTTGCTGCTCGTCTATTATGTGTTAGAAGAATCGACATATTACGATGTACTATAGCTCTTTGTTCAATTTTGATGTCTCAAAATATGGGCCATCGGTTGAACTTCTTTTTGATTGGGTGACCACAAATCCAAGAATCCTATAATCTTCTATCACGAGTAAGTCGATTAAGCTTAACTTAAGATCCGTATTGAGTGATCACAAATCGAAAGGATCCAATACATGCTTTCATAGATGTGGTGATAGATAAACTATGCTATTATATAGTGCCTCCGATTGAGAGTCGACGAGGAAACTTCATAGGATGAGGCGATAGTAGGAGCTGGAAATCTCCATACTTTTGTGAATCCCAATCAAGTTTAGACATGAAAGACATTTCATTGTTATTAATCAAGAAACGTAATTCAATAATGACATTCATTCCCTATACCATGAATCAGATTAGTGATGATATTTCTATTGTGATGTTTCAAGAATTTAGTACGAAAGAAATAGTAGATAATGTATAATTGAGGTATAAGCTTTAAGTTTTGAATGTCATAATTTGATTGCCTAAAACTAGTGAAGTACAACAACATTTGTGTGTTCGTCGAGTATTGACACCACAATTTCCTTAGCATCACAAATAATTATGTGGTCATCACAAAGTACAAACATGACAACCATGCCAATAAACCATATGAAAAAGATTGAGATTCTTATATTAACTTCAAATGTCATGTCAGGCTTTGTTGTGCCCTCCCCCTCAATCTCACACATAAACCAAATAATCGTCCTACAATGACTTGACTCCTGTTAGAATGAGGCCCACTCAGCTTTACACGCCAATATATGGTTCTTAGCGTCAACTTAAAATGATTCAATGCACGCCTTTATGATTTAATAATGACAGATGATTTCACGCAACAATTAATATAGTTAACCATTTACAAATCATTCTGATTACATTTACGTCAATTGGAGTTGCATGTTAGACGTAGACATAATTGATAATAAATCACTATTATTTAGATCTAATATGGTCATAATTGTATCTTCTTTACTAAAGCTTTTTTATATAGAATAAACAAAAGAAAAGACTATTTTCAAATAGTCGTAATTTATTCATTTATCACTTTTATTTATTTCATATTATTAATTTTATATTTTTTTAATTATCTCATATTATTATTTAGCTAGTTTTTAAGTGCACTGATCTTTTCATAGTTTTTCATAAATTTATGGTTGTAACCTGTTAAACCGAGAAAGCCACGTAGCAATTTTATATTCCTTGGGGTTAGCCAATTCTGTATTGCTTCTATTTTGGAGAGGTCCATCGTCACACCTTCCTATGATATGATATGCCCAAGATATTTCATCTTTTGTTAAAGAAAATAAAAATTCGTAGTGGTCGTGTTCAAAAGGCGATTTTCGGTATGTCTTCTTCACACACTCGTATTTGATGATACCCGGATCGATGGTCCAGCTTTGTGAATTTGTCTACTACTAGGATAGTGATGGAACAAAGTGTGTTAAATGGACTAATTTCAATTTACTTGTTCATAGTTTAAACGTTTCTTTGCAAAAAAATTAGTCTAATTTTTTCATATGAAGTCAGAAGTACCCATCCATTGTTTCAAGGATATTGTCAATCAATTGAAAGATCTTGGCAAACTTCATAATAACCTCAAAATTAGTAAGCAAGGTTCTGAGGTCACTATCCAAATTGCTGGAAAAAATTGAGAAGGTCACTTATAATCCATGAAATGACATTTCAGGTTCATGAACTAGAAAATTATGAAAACCATCCCAAAAGAGCATTCATCAAATCTCATGCTAACATCAAAACAGTGAGCAAGATTCACATGTCACTTCTTAAATAATCACAAAAGAATTGATAATGCCACTTCTGATTTATTAGAAGACTCTTTAGGTTCATAATGCACCTACTTATGCTAAATTGCATGAAACATTAAAAATATATATATACTTTGAGTTAATAAAGTTTCTAGTAAATGTTGATATTTAAAGAATAAGCATGTAAGTTTATCAAGAAATTAAAATTCATCAATGTGTGTGCATATTAAATTAGTACTGAATGTAGTAAGCTTAAAAGTAATTCTATATCACCCACTTGTGATCATGTTCACATCCAATGAATTTGCAGTGGTGGTGTGTGTTTAGATCTATGATTCTGGGCAGTTCTTTATTTTTTTTTATCGATAAAGCGATTATAGCCAAAAAATTAACATTCTATTTTTAAATTATTTCGATAGCTCTTTTATGAACTCTCAAATAATTTCTAATTGGTCTCTCCAAATTTTCTCTTAAACATGTAGCATTTGGGAATTTGTAGAAGTTCTACCACAGCCTCACTGTTGTCTCTCCAAACCATTTAAGTTCCTTTTCCACTGGCATATGCCATGTTTCCTCTGAGATTTTGCAGGATTTGCACCTTAATCAGCATGTTTCATGCTTTTTGGATTATATCTTCTAGTTATTATTATTATTCTCATCATCTCAACATCAACATCAATGCTTTAAGAGGCAGAGTGCTTGTGTCATGTTCCAAAAGAAGGTGCATTCCCCCTCCCTAACAAGCCAGTCATCCATCATTTTCTAGCTGCCCTTCTTCATGTCTTCCTTGCATCTTTGGTTCAGTTGATGCAGAAGGTTCATCCAAGACACACACCTTAGCAAATGTATTTTAAGGTGACAATAGCACACTCGATTCGCCCAGAGTCAATCAACCTTCTTATTACTGTGATCATTACTAGCTAACTCGATATCGCGAATCGAAGGAAAGCATAATCTTCTCTAAATAAATGAGGAGAATTGCGTGGAAACTAAGCTTTTACTTTCTGGGAGCGTATTGTATGGTGAATTAGCTGAATCATTCAGATAAAGGAATGGCCTCCATTCGATTGATAAGATGCTCGAAGTCCCACTCTATATAAATTTGTGTTGACTAGTAAACAAAAAACCAAAAATATTCGCTTAGAAGGATTAGTACTCTCGATACTTAAGTTTTAGTTAATTTAGTATTATCTATCAACATCTTCACACACATCTTTCCTTTCAGTGTCTACCATCAACAAGCTTTTTGCAACAAAGACAGATGGTTCACTCTTTCTATCTTCTTTTTTGTATCATATCAAAGTCCATCCTTTCCTTGGTTGAATCTTACAACTCTTTCCTATTCTTTTTCGGACATGTATATAGATATAGATATATATATTATTTATACGTAACAAATGCATCAAACATCTTCAAATAAGCAGATTGACAGCAGTTGATCGTCTGTGGTGCAGAGTTCTGCGCTTAGGTGGAAAGGAACTCTGCATCTATAGAACTACTCCCCTAACTAATGTTCTTTGTGATATTAATCGGTAATGATTGCCTTACTATAATGAAAAAGGAGAGGTCTCAACGCGTATGGAATAGTCAAATGGAGGCGAGGTCAATAGATCTGCCTTTATCGCTGGAAGACCTTCATGGGGTACACTTCGTATTGGAATCCTTCGCTCTTTAAGACTTAAAAGAAGAGAGAAAAGAGAGCTTTTGACTGTACAATCGAGGAGTACCCCTAGGTTTCTCCACGCTTTAATTAGAGTTATATATTGTTGGCATATAGCATATCTTTGTGAGATGAGGTAGATTATACTCGATGGGAAAAGCTTGAGCTAAGATTCCAAGTAATCTTTGGATCGAGATCCGAAAACTGAGGTGTCAGTGCTTCAGCCCACAGAACGTGCAGTGACAGATGTTAGTTTGCATGAACAATGAATTATCTAATAATGGTCACCAAAAATGAGGTTAAAAATAAGAATAAAATGGATTATAGTTTGTATTGCAAGGATCAACTGTGAGAAAAGATTCGATATGACCTACAAGAAATATCTTAATGCTCGATGCTGTCTCACTTGGAAGCTTCCTCGCGTCATTTACATTGGTGTGGTCAGCGTTCAGTAGCTGCAGCAAGAACAAATCCCTGGCATTGGCACGGGCACAGAGACTTTAGGGATGCGTGCCAAAGTACTATCCAACTAGTTTTATATTGGATGGGGCTGTTTTGAGTTCAAAGCAATATCATATTTGTCAGAAAGTTTGAGTTGACTTTTCAAGTATGAATAATAATTCATTTGTGACAATCGGGACGTAATGATGCATCCAATATTATCAGGTTGGTTGGTATTACGTAGAGATCATGTTTATCTCAGAGAATGACACTTTGGGACACTTCAACATCTCGGGATCATGGTGTGGATTTATGTGGCCATCGGAGCTGTAGCAGTGTTGATGAATTGCCTCTTCCGACTGTTGATTTGGTGGGAAGTTTCAGCCATAGACTATAGATAAGAAAGCACATTTCTTGCATAGTGATAGCAGGAATATTCATTTAATCAAAGATCGGTACGTGGCGGATTAAGCTAATTATTCAAATATAAAATACTCCTAGAATATTTCGTTCGTACCGTAAAATATTTCTGGATCAATCTTACGAGATATATCATACCATATGTCGATTTTTCATGTACTCAAACAAAAGGTCAATGTCGAGTCGACACGTATGTTCGAAGACTTGTGCACGTATGTTCAAACCAAGTAGAATCGATCATGAACATCGTCCCCCGATAGTGAAGAAAAATGCAATCTATGTATGTAGTGGCTTTACAGAGTGGCACTTAGGTTTAACCAGTTGCTAGTAATTGTTAGCAGCAGTGGCCACAGCTACCACCATCGTTTCTATTGTCACATATCATGCACAATACAAAGTGGATACTGGAGCTGATTAAAAGTTCGCAGCAAGTAGTTCTTTCTAGAGTCCGGATGTGAACTTTTGATAGGGTGCCCAAATCGATCACAGGGTCAGCATGCATTATAATAAATAGGAGAAGATTTTTATGATCCATAGTGCATATTATTCAATGGGGGAGCAGCTTTGACACAGTGGAAAAGGTTGGATTTCTCATTCCCTTCCTCTTCCCACTTCCTATCGTTGACAGAAAGCATGGGTGACCTGAGCTGAGGTTTCCTCGTCGCTCAGTGTGTCAATCGAAAAGACTGTACTGTACAACTTGGGGGTGTGTGAGAAGGCCTCTGGAGGAACTGCAATCGCTTTTTTGATTACAGGGTCCTGCTGCTTGAAAGCGTCCCTGGAAATCGCCATTGGATCAAGCTGTATGGTCCTCGACTGGTGACTTGAGAGAGAATCTCAGGGGCAGGCCATTCAGGGGCAGCACAAAAGGTCCGAACTGAATACCGCTTTGGCATCCCACCATAGACCACCTGATAGAGATAGCAATACATCAACACCAGGAAGAGAGGTCAACGGAGACAAAAAGTCAAGGGGGCGGTATCTGACTTTTGATGGTTTTGGCTGGGTTACCTGTATTTGGTGGTGAGGTGATGGAGGAGCACGAGCATCTCCAGCTTCGCGAGCTCATTGCCAGGGCAGGAATGGGACCCGTTTCCAAATGGCATGAAGGTGTTGGGTTTTGGAGCAACCTGCAACAGTCGACAAAAAGAGACCAGAATTATTTGTCTGCAGGAGGAGGAAAGGCGACTGATGGAGATAGGGGCGGCGCGGCCGTCCTCCTTCGCCCACCTCAAATCTGGAGGGATCAAATTTTTCCGGGTCAGCGAAGTTATCCGGGCTGTGGTGAATGTTTCGGAAGAGCGGCAACACCTTCCAACCCTTGGGAATCAGATACCCTGCACCACATCACAGGGGGAGAAGTCAGCACAGCAGATACCTCCGCCGACATCCTTTGCATGGATAGAGGTTGTGATGCCAACCCACCTTCGTACTCCACATCTTCCACCGCTTCTCTGAAGGTAAAAGATAAGACGGAGGCCACCCTCATCGTCTCCTGAATCACCCTCGATGTGAGTGGCATCCTCTTGGTATCAGCCCAAGTCAGGGACTTGCCGTCTTTGCTCCTCGTGATCTCCTCTTGCTCTTCCTGAGATACGCAGTCCATGTCAAGCTCTTTCTACTGAAAACGACACTTGGAGATGGGAGGAGGAAGAGGAAGAAGAAAGCATCTTACCGTCACTGCTCGTAAGATGCCTGGGTTATCCCCGAGGTACTTGACGATCCAGGTGAGCACGCTGGCAGTGGTGTCCCGGGCTGCAAAGATGACGCCGATAATGTTGTCGGCAATCTGATCGTCGGTGAGCGCTTCTTTGGCTTCCATGAAAGAGCCAAGCAGACCATTGGCCTCCGTCTTCGACTGCGTCCTCCTGGACGACACAATCTTGGCCACAATTTGAGCCAGCTGTTTCCTGGCCTTCATTGCCCTGTAGAAGAGGGTCCCAGGCAGGTTGACGGGCATGGAGTTGTAGCCCTTCTCCAGGGTGTAGTAACACTGCTTCAGATCCTCGATGTAGCAGATCTCATCATTCCCAAAGATAGAGAGGAGTGCCACATTGAACGCGTACTGCAGGAAAGCAGCGGACGCGCATCAAAACAGAGAGACAGACGACGGGAACACAAGGGAAAAGGAAGAGCAGAGCATCAAAGAAAAGCGATCTTTCACGGTGTTGGAAGGTCAGAAGTAGACCGAATCAATTTCCTACAGGTTTGACTTTGCAGCTCAAATTTAGAATTGTAGTAGCGTCTGCGAGAGCTTACCGTCTTCATTTCAAGGAAGGTATTAACGAAACGGCCGTCCCAGGAGCGCAAGGCCCGGAGAGCGGTGGCCTCAATGCCGGCGACGGAGCCGCGGATGGCGTCGGGCATGAGAGCCCGCAGCACGAGGCGGCGGAGGCGGGCGTGGTAGTCGCCCTGCTGGAAGAAGATGGCCTGGGGACCCAGCATCCGCTCCTTGCTGGCGGGGAACGTCGGCTTGAACAGGTGCGCCCGCGTCACCAGCACGAACCTTGCCGCCTCAGGGCTCGACACCATGACGCAGGGGCAGCCCAGGATGTGGGTCTTAAAGATGGGACCGTACCTGCAAACACCATCACCACCAGCAGCGTTATGTGCGGTGACAAAAAGGAAATGGGACATCGACAACAATCCTTTTCCACCGACAGGCAGAAGCCACGAACCTCTTCTGCTTGAGGGCGAAGAAGGCGTTGGGATTGTTGGAGTAGAGCTGCAAGGTCTCTCCAATATAAGGCCAGCCCATGGAGCCCGGCGGCAAGGGCAGACTACGGGACCCGGTGAGGAATGCTCGCGAAAGCAGATAGTAGATGAGGCACAGGAACAGGAAGCAGAGGGTGAGGGACGGAAGAAGCATGATCGTCAAGGACGCATTCGGGACGACGGTGGCGACGCAAGTGGAACTCATCGTTGGTCGGAGAGGAGGAGGAGGAGGAGGACAGAGGAAGGTGTGGATTATCCTGTGTGAGGATTTGATGTGCGTCAATGGGGAGGGAAGGGGGTTTTATAGGGGAGCCAATACAGCCGATGCACCCACGGAAATCTATTCCAGCTAATGTAGCTTAACCTCGGAACACTGAATGAAGCAGTGATCATAATATGCATCATTGCAATGCAATTGTTGGGAAAGATAGAAGAAAGACAAAAGTAATATAAAACATAAATAAATAAATAATGATCAATGAGTGTAAGCTTCCCAAAGAAATGAAATAGGACGTGTCAAATCACTTGCACGTGTTTGACTTTCCAATCCATACTCTGTCAGTGTTTTTTTTCTTCCAAGTATTTAGAGCTGAGTAGAAAAACTAAATAAAGCGAAAGTCAAACTCTCTTCCCAAGTTTTTGTTCTTCATAAATATATTTATTTATTTACTTAAATTCAGATAGATTCAGACTAAGTATTAACTATGTTTTTGTACGGGGGATTGCAAAAATGGAAGAGTAGAAAGGTATTAAACCAACTAAAAGAATGGAAAATGTAATGTTAGAGAAGCCATGGAGATAAAATAGGTGGAGAAGAGTCAAGCAAAAAAGGGTTAATTATGAGGGGAAGAAGTGGTGAGGTAAAAATAGGAAGATGAGACCCACTGGGGGGGAAGCTTAGTGGGGAGCTATTACTCTTCACTTTAAGTAAAGGGTTGGATCCTTCATAGCTCCAGCCAATTACGCGTGTGATCTGAGTTGTTGACACATGGAATGGGCCTTCCATTCTATACCACAGCTCTTCGATTGTCTTTTTATGGCCTACTCTCTCTCTCCCTCTCTCTCTCTCTCTCTAATCAATAAAAAGATTATAGCTTGCCATCTGTTTCTGGCTTTCTCATGGCTGTTTATCTTTCATCACCTGATCTCATCATTTATGTCTACGAAAAATCAAACCATGAAGGAATGTGATGTAGCGTGTGATTGACGTTTTACACCACATATCATCACTTGTCCGAAATGAATCGATTTCGCTTCGATCCATCATTGTGTTACTCACAAGTTTCAAGAACAAGAGAGTGACGGCGCAGCATAATCTTGGATTAGGCATCTAATTCTAGACATTAAGTGTCTACTTGTTTGCTCTGAGGGAAGTAAAATCGCGCATAATATTTATCCTGTCGAAAGGGTGATCGTACGGTGCAATGAATGGCTAATTGCACTCGTGCTACCAAATCCTTTATGAGGGACAGCCAAGAATAAGATGAACAGCTAAGGCCTCTTCGAGCACAAATGGACACGTCTCCGAGACGGACCACCGGAGACCTCAGACGCCATTGGGCGACTGGGATTTGTACTCCGCACCACTGTAGTCCACCTGTCTGTCATCCCCATGAACGGGGAGCTCACTGTTGGCCTCGAACAAGAGAGTGATTGCAACGCCAAACGTACGTCGACTCTCTCGCAAGTCGTCGAATCTTCTGCACCGCCAACTCTAAAGAACTCCGGTGAAGTTCCCCGAGGACTTCCATAGATTCAAGTAACATATGGTTGGAAAGCTTTGATTTATATGAATTGACTAAAGCTCATACGATGATTAACGGCGAACTGAATCAAATTGAATTTTGGTTCGATTAAGATGAGATAGGTCAAACGGGAATCATTTCGAATTTACCTAATCAAACTGGTTCAAAATCAATTAATTTGATTTGATTAATCAGTTAATAGTTTATAATTTTAAGTAATTATATATTTATATATATAAAGAATATATTTTGATCGATCATTCAATTCAATTGAATCGGACCTAATAAGATCAATATAATAATACTTGCGAAATTAGGCCCCATATCATTTGACACCGAGACATTTGGGCAATTTTGATTGATCAGATTAAATCGATTAAGAGTTCAATATAGTAAATTTAGTTGGAGTAATATTTTTTTAAAATAAGATCGATTTGATCTAAAGGGGTTAATCGAATCAAAAAATTAATTTTCTAAACCAAAATCATTTATAGTTTTCAAAATCCAACTATTAATGAATCGACTAAAACCAATTCTAAATCGATTCATTGTTTATTTAATTTGATTTTTCGATTCGATTTGAACGTTCCTAACTATGATTTCCTCATAGCCTACTCGATCATTTTTAGATTGAAAGTTAATAGACATGTTATCTCATAAATAAAGTTTTAACACAAATATCATAAAATCTTAAGAAGACATACCAAGGATCTATCCGAGTTCTTGATGCATCACGAAAGAGATGGATGATATGTAAATTTTGGTGATAATGGTAGAAGAAAAATGACTTATTATGATAATGTTGATAACAAATTTTTAAGATGTTTTATTATGTGTGAATCAAAGTATTGTAATTATTAGTCACTCATGCAACTAAGTGTTTGTTATTAGATTTATAACACGATATTAATTTCATCCTAAGATTTAAAAGAAAAACATAATAGGCTTAAAATATGAAATTATGTATATTATTAATTTTGATTGATTAAATAACTCATATGTAATATTTTCTTTTTTGTCTTGAATGATAATATGATACGAATTAAATAAGAAATTAGGACGTACTAGCATAACTTCTTTACTAATTTAGTCACATAAAAATCTAACTCAACTTTGTGGGTTATTGGATACTTCTCAAATAGGAAAATAATTTAAAAAGTAGCTTTAGCATAAATATGATATACAAAACAAAATTAATACACTTTGCGGATAGGGTTGAGGATCAAAACCTTTTAAGAATTAAAAATTTTGAGATAAAAATATATATATATCATCTCAATAAATTTCATGTCTTCTATATAGCGAAAAATCTTCAAATTTGGATGAATTTCCATTTCATATAATCGAGTATTAAAACCTAAAAGATATAAACAAAAAGTGTTCCAAATGAGTTGAAATTAATTGTGTATGCCACACAGTATTATCTCAGTAAGTTTCAGCAACTAAAATTAGTGTAAATAACACTAAAAAATAATGTAAAAATGATCCCATCCTCTTTTTTTTGTCTAATACCTATAACATTGTACTTGTGTACTATGTTATAATATTTTTTAGTATTATTAAAAATACTGTAACATAATATAAAAATACTATAAACATTATTTTATTTTTATTATAATATTTTTCTAATAAAAATTATAACTAAATCGATTGACCATAAGAAAATATATGGAAAAAAAAGGGATACTTTTCTGAAAAAAAATAATAACTTTTTTTTCGAGGAATTACCTCAAAAAATATATGTATAGTGAAGGGGAAGAATTTGACCGGTCAAGAGATGACAACGCCTCAACTATCTTGGAATCCTCAATACCTTATCCTTTGGCAAGCATTGTCAACGCGACGCCTCCGAGTTACATTAAATTGTGGGAGTGCCGAAGAAGACTCTTCGGGCGATAGTTGATAAGGTCACGCAGCTGTCTCGGCTCTTCTTTTCTCTGCCGTCGAACAGACGGATAAGTGCGTGAAGTCAACAATATCATTACGTAAGGATGGCTGGGGTTCATGAACGAAGACACAGTACTGCAACTTTGACTCGACCGTCCTAAAGCAGGAGGAGGAGCAGTTCGAGTTTGGAGCCGATGATGAGTTCATGCCACTCTTGACTTATCTTCCTCGTGTGCGATGGCGTTTGGCACCTTTAGCAGTCGACGGGTAACAAACACCCATCTTGGCTTTTCCTTCCGATGAAGAGGTGCCCTTTTGTATGCATGATGTCCACGGCGGCTTCGGTTTCCCACCCTTTTGCTCAAAGTACCGATTCCACCACCATATAAAAATGAAGGCAATATACATGCAAAGGTCAGGTTTTCACTGGTTAGTTTTTTGACATTGTGTCTGGGATGTCTTTTTCTGTAACTCTCAATTTTATCTCTCTTTATATTTCAATTCTTTGCACTTCGTTCTTTGAATCGAACCGATTTGAGTAACCCTAAGTGACTTCTCTTCCTTTATCATCTCTTTTGTTTCTCTCTTTTTTCTTTATTTTTTTAATAAAAAATGAAGAGTGAGATGAAGTTGACTTTGATCGACTCACCTTTGACTTATTCTTTTCCAAACAAATGGAAGAAAAGATACAGAAGAAAACTGTATATGGAAGAAAAGATGGAAAACCAAATCGATTTGAGTCAATTGATTTGGATAATTTTCCAATAGAGAGGTGTCATATCGTAAAAGTTAATTATTAATTTTTTTTTTGAGGTAAAATAATGTATTGAAAGATCTCAGTTGCCAAAAGAAAGTTGTCGTAAATAGTTTCCTTCCCTCTCACGAACAAGCAAAGGGGTTCGCACTCCGAATGATGAGGGATGGCAGACGAGCAAGTCACTGCGCATGTCGGTGCGTTATGATCGCTGATCCAAAGTCAGTGGGTTCCATCGTGAAGCACCCACCACTATTTGTTCCTGCACTGAATCTCTCAAACACATTCCAAGGAGCATTGATTTCCTGATGTGAGGAACACGATCATGTATACGTAAGTTGGACGCCAACCCTCTCCCGCCTCATGCATGAACGTTGAGAGGCCTATGAACTAGGATTGGTGGTTGAGCTGTGGAGTTGTGTTACTGTAAAAGGTTGTGTCAGGGCCAGATTACGATTCGGTTTGAAATAGAAGCAAATTGAGCTGAAATCGAAATCGAACTGGTCTGATGATCCGTCGATTCTAAATCGAATATGATAAGGGACAATTTGGTCGGTCGGTTATTGGTGCGGTCTGTAGGCTCACGAGAAATTGTCCGCTTTGGATAATGGACGTATCCACATGGTTTTATTCTTTCGGAGCATGAGCTCAAAAAGACGTCTTTTAGAGTTCACACGTTTCGAAAGAACAAAATCGTGTAGGTACATCCATCGCCCAAAGCGGACAATTCCTCACGAGCTTATGGGTCACACCAATGATCGACCAACCAAATTGTCCCATTATCAGATTGGCACTAGAAGGAGGGCCCAAGGCCTACACCTTGGCCGAGCAAACTTGCTCCCAAGTCGTGCACACTAGTTATGAGCCCTTAACCCCCCTATGGAAAGGAGCAATGATAAGATCATTTAGTCTCACGAGGAGTATAGGAACCAATGAC